TGAAGTAACAGGAGACTATGTTTTATTCAATGCAGGACCTTCCACACCTTTGTCCTAGAACCCACAGTGGGTTCTTGGACATGCGGTACGACGACAGGTACACTCCTTTCCTACAAAGAGCTGGCTTGGATGTCATCTCTTTTTAGGTTCGTCGTGGGTTGCCCAAGTTTAACTCAGCGGCCATAGCTGCGTTGGTAGACAGGTATTAAAGTGAATCATTGCCTCCATTCATGGCCATTTGTTCATGCGATTGACTTTTTGACAAGGAATCTTGTTTTGTCTTAAATATAGGTGGTGACCTGAGACTTACAGCTTCCACCTACCTTTCGGGGAGATGACAGTCTTGCTACAGGACTGTCAGAAGATGCTAGGCCTAAGGATTCATAGCAACCTAGTCTCGGGCAGTGCAGGTCAGAGGGATGGAGAGCACGAGTGGAGGTCTTTCTCGGGCATGAGCTTGGCGAGCAAGGGGCTCGCACTGCTGGAGTTCCCATCTCCTGGCTACGTGAAGAGTTAGTACAGTGCCCCGAGGAGGCAGATGAGGAGACAGGAAGGGAACTACCTAGGGGTGGGAAGGTCCTCTTGGTCCCAATTTCTTTGAGGAAGCCCTTTATGAGAGGTTCCCAGTTGAGAACAAAAGTGATTTCACCAAAGAGGCACCACTGAGAGGATACGATGAAAAGAAAGAAGAGTGGCCAAAATGCATGCATGGTGAGGACTGCCTAGTGCAGATGTTCACCGAGGGAATAGATGGAGGTCGTCATTTCTTCAAATGCCCACGAGCATGGGTAATTACTATTACTAGTTGTTTCTTCAAAAAGTTTGTCTTGTATATAACTTACACAACATACTTATTGTAGTCTTTCTTGGCCGAAGAAAACTGTGGGTTCAGTAGGTGGGTCGATCCTCGACCTATTTATCCGCATGCGGAGTACATCTACTATCTACAGGACCGTATCTTCGATCTAGAAAGAGAAGTTAGCAGCGGTTACAAGGACGATGGACAGGACGACAACAACAATGGTGCCGATTCACAGGAGGGACTCTGCAATGATCCATATTGCATCTACCCTAACCACAAGAACAAGGGGCCTCCCCCGTCACCCCCGCCACAACCACCAACAACAACGGGAGGCTACTATGGAGAAGGTGCAACATAATTTGCTATATGGCCACACTACTAGGATGACTTTATCTTTTTCACATGTACCCAGGTTTAATTACCTAAGACATGTTAGGTTTAATTACCTAAGGTATGGTTTAATTACCTAAGGCATGTTAGGTTTAGTCGAAGCAAACTCTGTACCCAGGTTCGATACATGTAGTCACATGCCATTTCATGTGTTTCATGTGTTGATTTATATAATGCCGTACGTCGTTAGTTTTTTTTTCAGCACGTGTTCACATTTCAAAACGTCCGTATCATTAAGTAGAATATTAAGACAATAAATAATGAAAACAACCACATAATGAAAAGTTCAATACTATGCCATATTACACAACATATTACTACTAGAAGTGCGTGCCGACAGTAGACATAGGGGCAAATGCACTTCCAAATCCTTAGTCCAAAACATACTGAGTAAGCAACTCATCATCCGAGTACCAGTCCTCTACCACAACACTGTTGTTGTGGCTAGGCTCACCTGCGTTGCTCTGACTTGCCTGTTGCCTGTAGTAAGCGCCCTCCACTTCATCTACGGCTGCTGCAGCTTGAGTGAAGAACGCGGCGTCATCCTCCTCCGCCTGTAAGCCCGTCTCTGCTAGAGCGATGAGCTCGCTCAGTCTGCCAGTGTCGTCCTCAGCCTCGTCCGCCTGCATGCCCACCTCTGCTAGAGCGATGAGCTCGCTCAGTCTACCAGTGTCGTCCTCGGCCTCCTACACCTGTATGCCCGCCTCTGATAGAGCAATGAGCTCACTCAGTCTCCCAGTGTCGTCCTCATCCTCGTCCCCCTCATTAGACAACACAATCGGTGATTGAACGGTGCGACCAGCTCGTGATCTATGCTCATCTAACTTCTTCTCCTCATACCTTGCACGAGCCACCTCTGTGGCATGTTCCTCGCTGCAACCAATCCCTTCATGTATAAAATGAAATTAGTTAGCAATGCGATTGTATTACATTTAAAATCAGGCAACGAAAAAAGGGACTTTCAAACACTCATTGGCACATAATGCAGCAACATGCTCATTCAAGACCTGCATCTCTACTCTTGTCTCCTCCCTTGCCTCCTGGCTTGCCCTCTCCTCCTCTAACGTCATCCGCCTCTCCAATCCCCATTTATTAAGCCCAACATCGATCGGGTTACAAATACCGCGTTGTCTAGCAAAGTCACGCATCTTTTCTTTGTGATGTTTAACAAATAGGTTGACGTAGTCAGGTCCATATCCCCTCTTCCATGCAATTAGTTTTATCTTCTTCAGTTCACCCAAGAACTTAGCTTGACCATCGTAACGTTCCCACCTGCATTCCCTAGTGCTCTGTTCAAAAGAAATATTATATCATATATGTCTTAGCAAAAGAAATAAAATACGATTTCATGTTTACCACAAAAATAACGAACCTGTTCGTACTCAACCATATGGCCACAATAATGGCCTATTTCAAGCTCCGAAGGGACTAGGCCATAGTTAGATTTAACACCACATTCGCACATGACAGGAGGTGCTTTGTAGATTACCCTTTCTTTCTTCTTTTCCTTAACCTTCCGCGGTTCTTCCGGCCATTGGTTCTTAGGACCATACAATCACTCCTTGAAACGACACTTCGCCATTGAAAACACCTAAATAAGGAGACATTAGTACATGAACACATATAGCTCAAGATTTCAACACATACACTTTGCACTTACTTCATGCTTGTTTGGACACACAAACTCCAACGTATTCTCAGGGTTTATCACAGCTCGATCTCCGCAATCGCACAGAGAAGGTTCCTCGAGTCGTCTAACTGTGGCTAGGTGCTTCTCCTTAGCCGTCATTGGTGGAGGGTTAGGGGGGTGGAACCCAACGCTTGAAGCGCTCATGTGGATGTCTCCCTCTAAACCAATCATCGAAAAGGAGGTACCTAGGATCAAACTTATCTGCACCGTCGATCCACTAAAAGAAAAAGCACCTCTCATGGTCCTACACAATGAGATTCCAATAAAATATTAGTAGCATACTTACACAAATAACGAAAATAATAGTGCAAACAATTACTAACATTAAAACGACTGCATGTGTAGAAGCAATGAGCCGCTGTGTTCGGATGTCTCGATTGAAACACGTCGGCCGGACGACCACAGTCACAGTTAGGGACAGGGAGGTCAGGAGGGACGGGGACATCTTTGCTAGATGCGTCGGGGTATAATTCTCGAGGACGACCCCGTTTTCGCCAAAACTTCTCCCAAAACATTTCTTGCATCTAACAAAACAGATGTAGTTTAACAAACATAAATAAAAAACATCACAAATAAATGTCAATGAGAACCATAACTACAATACAACCAATTTCGTTCTAAGAACCGAAAGAAGTTAACATTAAACCCTAAACCTAGGGTTTCCCATTTGATCCACAACAATGAACCCATAACATAACTACATGCGCCTAGGTTTGCTAGCTTTTTCCACGCCTTGGAATCAACCTACGGTTGTATAATATATATATTGAGGGATACAATGAAACCCTAAGTGATGACGATTCTTAGGTTCAAAAATCCGACTAATATATACCGAATCGATGCAAAAAAAATAAGGAGAGGAGCGAGGATACCTTGCTCTCGAAGATCTACGAATCAAATCAAGGTTTTCAAGGTCCAATATGACGATTCGTGAGGTAGGGTGAAGTGGGGAGAGAAAAACCCGAGAGGGAGGAGAAAGAGGAGGAAGAACGCTCGGGCATGAGGGTTGGGACGGAGTTAAATGCAGCGAGCTCGGCTCCAAGATCTACGGCGCCGAGCTCGGCGCCAGCACTCTGGCGCCGAGCCCCCTGGCAGGTCACGAAACGTGGCCAGGAGCTCGGTGCCAGAGCATGAATGGCGCCGAGCTAAGGATCTATTTCATGAATTCTTTCCGCTAGGGGTCTATTTGTGAGAAACTTTCAAAAAGAGTCAAATTGTAAAAAATTCGGTCTCGACGGATGGTAAAGACCGACAGACGGGCCATGGCATGAATTGAAAGGCAACCATTGCCGTGCCGATTACAACTGTACTCGTATTTAACCAGATAGTCTGACTATAACTGTACATAGGGGCATTTAGGTAAAGTAGTGTTTTAATTTCCACCCTTTAAAAATCATAACTAATAATTTATGATGTGCTTTTTTAACGTAAGTTTTTATGGTGTCAGCTATCACCTTGCAAAATTTGAAACCAACATAGAACGTGAAAATTTGACCAATTGGAGTAGTTCATGATGGTAAACTGAACCAAACGTTAGTTTAGGAAATTATTTGGATACTGGTGAAACTTCAGGAAAGTAATTTGAATTTTGTAACATTTTATTAAATTGGTTTCAAGTTCTTTTCTTGAATTATAAACTTCGCATTTTTTCGACAACGAAAATATGTCGTTTGCAATATTGTTTTGGGCCAAAAAAATACGAAGCATATCAGGGGGATTTTGAAAACATAGCCAAGCACGTGGGAGTAACGTTTTTATATTTATTATAAACCTAGAGGGCCATGTAAAGGGGTTTATTGCAATTAAGCCCGTGTTCAGTTGAAAAAAAAGTTCTAAAAAAGTGTACAACATCTATTACATCGAATCTTGCGATACATGCATAAAGCATTAAATGTAGATAAAAAAACTAATTATATAGTTTGGTGAAAAATTACGAGACGAACATTTTAAACCTAATTAATCCATAATTAAATAATAATTATTAAATAAAAACGAAAGTGCTACCGTAGCCGAATTCTAACTTTCCCTCGAGTAAACAAGGGCTAATTATTCCCGCAGCAATTGTTCCCGCACAGGAGGTGGAACAAGTCAACCGGGCGCCGCCACCGCCTGACCGAGATGGCGTCTTCCGCCTCGCCGCCCGCCGCCAGGTTGTGACGGCTACTGACACGGTTCCTTCTTGCCTAGAGATTTTCTAGTTCTGGTTTGTCTTATAGTAGAAAACAACTAGTATTTGGTGGGTTTCCTAGATCCGGTCTCCAGCATTGCAAGAGATTGCCCTGATTGGGGGCTTAGGGTTCATGCTTAAATTTGAGCGAACCGTCAGATTTCGATTGTTTCCCGAATCAATCTAGATTACGAGATATTGGGAGAGGCACCATCCTCATTGGTTAGGTTCCTTCACGAATTGCTACTGTATGTTTATTTGCTTGTTCAATTTCTGTCAAAATGTGTGATAGGGAGCGAGCATCTGTATATCCATGCGCGAAAAAACGTTAATTTCTGGCAAACATATAACTAGGTGAAACCATCTTATTTAGGTTCCACCAGTAACTGTTCATCTGAGTCAATGTAGAAGGTAAATGCAGCCCTCTTGAGTTTCTGTACCTTGCAATCTGCTAACTTGCTTTTGTTTCTTGCTGTTATACTCTCGAGTTAATCTAGTACTATGTAACCATATTGATTGTTTGGCCCCGTTCGCTGATCTGAAACTTGGCTGAAAAACACTGTTCCGACTGATTTGTTGTGAGAGAAAAACACTGTTCGGCTGAATGGATGAACAGTGTCGCGTGAGGGGAACCAGCCGGCTGGCTGGTTGCATCCATACCAGCGAACACCACCTTTCAGTACATTGACCCCTGACTTTCTGTTACTTACATGTTGCTCTCTCCACGGGCACGGGCACCAACAGGTCAGAGAGCACAGGAGAATCTCCTTGGTTCATTGCCACTTTTGCTACCAACCACATGACAGGAGATAAGAGTCTCATCTCCAACCTGGTACCTGTAAACAACCAAGTTATCAAAGCAGGGGTAGGCGAGGGGATGCAGGTGTGTGGCAGAGGGTATGTGAACACAGAGACAGTGGTCCTCCCTGACGTGTGGTATGTCCCAGGGCTCACAATGAACCAGGTATCCGTGGGGCAGCTAACCCAAGAGCCCGATCTAATTGTTGAGATTGGTGGTGGTGCTTGTCGTATCAGCAAGAAGAGTGATGGGTCTGTTCTCGGTGAAGCACGTTTGAGGTCTGATCATAAGTATGTGGTAGACTTCCTGAAAATTAAGCTGAATTAGGTGTGGAGCTTGGCTGGTGTCTTCAAATGCATAGAGGGGTGATAGTGATGTCGGCTACTGCTTTCTTTTATATGGTAACGCTGGATTGAAAATGGCTAAGGTCTGGAGTTTATATGGTATTTGCAATTTCTATGGTTTAGGATATTGTGTGCACGGTATCTGTGCATATGTTTAACTGTTACATGTTGACTATATAAGAAGTACTTAATGAGTCTATGACCTCTTGGGCATTTAATTTATGCAACTTGGGAAGTCCTTTTCGGCAGTGATAATATAATCCAGTGAGATCTGGTTTCAGCTGTATGCTCTGCTACTGAATTTGTTTTTGATGTGTGACTATCTGTCTGCAATCTGTTGGTGCCACAGTTGTGAACCTGTGCTATATGGTTTTGATGCACATGGTAAACTATGTTTGTTTGATGAATTTGATTCTTGGCATATACTGTATTCCTGATATATGGTTTTATTCATTTTTGGTGGGTTGAGTGGTGCTTATAACTGCACACATGATTTGACAACTTTGCTTCCAAATTTCTAACCAAACTTTCTGCCTGATGGTTGCAAATCCCACAGTATCCCCTTGCATTTGTCTCTTTAGCTGTGCTTAGAGAGTGCACATACTGGTTGGTACAACCCAGCTTTTTGTTTACATAAATTTAAGACACTCTCTGTACTGTCTAACCACAGTTTGAGAAAGCGACATGTTCTAAAGTTAGTGTGAATGAGTCTAGTGCGTCTAAAAAGTTACCAGGAAACAAGGCAATACAAAATTGAGTGGACTGCTTCTAACTAACTTTGTGGGTAGCTTTCTGCCTGTGTGCCTGCCAATAATAAACTCTGGTGCCTGGGTCAGTGACCATGGAGGCGGTGGTCCTCCCTAATGACGTCCCTGGGCTCTCTATGAACCTGGTGTTAGTGGGGCAGATCACTGAAGATCCTGATTTAGTTATCAAGATTGGTGGTGGTGCATGTCGTATTAACAAGAACAGTAATGGCTAACGTGTCTGTCATCAGTAAAGTCCATTTGCTACGAGATAGACTTTCTGAATTAGGTACCTTGATCGGCAGAGCATGATGGTGTCTTCAGATGCATAGAAAGATGGTAGGGATTTCTGCCGCTGCTTTCCTTTTGAATAGTATAGTGCTTAATGTGAATGAGTAAGGTTCAATAAATTCTCTGTTAAATTCAGATTATCAACTTATATTGGTCTTATAATATTGTATTCACAGCATATATATATATATGTTTAGCTGTTATATTCGTGGGTACTGTATGAGTCTCCGATCTCGTAACTCATTGCAGCTGATTCTGGTTTTGCAACTGAATGAGCGTTTTCTGAACAGTGACCACATTAGTCGTGTCTGTCCAGTTACAGCCAGCTGCACTTCTATTTATGTGTGATGTATATCTGCTAGCTGGTAGCTAGTCAGACTGTTGAGCAGACATTATTGTTTAATGAATTTGGCTATATTATACATATATTGTATCCAGCCATCTGCCTCAACCTTTGTAATGTTAACATTCAGCCTGACTGTATTTCTTGCTTTAGCTTTGCATTAATGCCTTTTCAGTGTGGACCTGTTGCCTTTTGCTCGTGCCTGGTAGTAAGTCCAATTGTTTAGCGACATAATCTGAAGACACACTGTAATCTCCTGCCAGAGTTTGAGAACCCAAGTGACAGTAATATGAAGGAAGTAGTTTGCCTAGTGTGATTGAGATGTTATTCTGAAGCATTCCCAAATCCCCACACGGTGAATGGCACTTGAGCATTTTGTAAGTTCTCAAAGTTTGAAACTTCCCAATGCAGTTATCTCCAATAGAGAAGGCAACACTAATTTTGAGCTCTCAGCTTCCAACTCACGCTATGCGACTTTTAAGATTGTCAGTTCTTAGTAGTCGCCCTTATATAGTTGTTAGTTTAGCTGGTTCGTTTTTTCTCAAAAAAAAAAGTTTAGCTGGTTCGTTTTGTGTGTCAAGCTGCACGTTGTTACTCTTGACTAAATATTGTTGGTATTTTGACCATTTTTGTTGAGATATTTATCAAGTCTTTGCATCTTGTTAACAAATGGTGCTTTTTTTTTCTCTCACTTTGCAACATTGATGGTTTACATGACTAGAATTTTTTTCGAGCTTCATTTGAATTAGGTATAAATAGGGTGGGACACATGTCAAATATTGCTGGAATTGACATTGAAAATTATTGCTACTAAGATGCACATATATTTTCCCTTGAAACAAAATAACACAAAACATGAACAAGCTAAGATCATGCACCGAGGGGAAACACAAATCATTGGTAACAAGACATAAAAAAGCGGTCGTAGCGACCAAGGCTAATAAATATTGACATATTGTACCCACTGGTGCGAGGTTGATTTATATTAATTTAAGTTTAATCTTAGCTCTAACTTTTAGGAATGACCAAACAAGCACAATATTTCAAGGGGAAAATGTAAAAAAATACAAAACAAAAGTAGTTAAGAAGCCATTTGGATCATTTCATTTTGGAGAAATTGGAATCTACTCAATGGATTAGGTTATTTGGCTTGGAATTTGACTTTCCATAACTTTCCCAAGTTCACATTTGAGCCTCTTTCAAATTCATAGGGTGGGAGATGGAATTTGATTATATAGATCATTTCTACTCTCCAACTTATAGCACGCTCTTCAATTCGCTGCTCTAAAGTAGAAATACAACATATAAGTATCTCCCTTGTATGGCTAATAATAATTTAAAAATATATTCTATATAGAATCATATTAGCTTAATTAATTTATACCTAGATTATAATTATTAGAATGAATTCAATTTCAAGGATCCAAACGGGCCTAGCTTAATATATACATGGAAAGTAGTGTGGCAACCGATGGAACCTATATAAGCCAAGCAACCTTTATTAAACAACTGTTATAAAAAAACCTTTATTGAATAACTAAGGTTGGAAAACGCATAAAAATAAAAGACCGTCTATTTCATTTAGTGCTACCTAATCATAAACCAAAGTAGAATTTTTAGGGCACGATAGGTTCCTAGTTCAATTTGTACCTACATAAGGCAAGTTAATTTTATAAGATAGTCCAAGTTACACTCCCCAAGTTTGGCCGATATCCACACAACTCCCTAAACTAACATTTGGTTTCATTTTCTACCCTAACTTATTTAGTTGGTCAAACCCTTTAACAAGATTTTGTTTTTTTGTCTCTCCACCTATAAATGTGTTTTAATTTCAAAATTCGTGAGGTGTTAGCAGAAATAACAACTTACATTCAAAAGCTACATTATTTTTTTTTCATAATTATGTTTCATATAATTATTCTATTTCTAGTGTTAATTTATTGTTAGATGTCCTAACCTGCAAATTTGTGATAAAATTGATGATATATTTTAAGCATAAGCTACAGTGTCAACTATTACCTTACAAAATTTAAACTTAAAACTCAACTTAAACATAGAAATGGTCTAACTGAAATAGTTCAGAAGTAAATTGAATCTAAAGTTAGTTTATGGGTTATCTCGACATTGTCTAAACTTTGGATACATTAGTAGAGAATAGACCTTTGATCCTCGGCCAAAATGGACTCTAGTCCCGGAATTTTTTGCGCTCGGGACTAGAGATACCTTTAGTCCCGGTTGGTGGCTCCAATCAGGACTAAAGGTCCCTGCTCAACGGCTACTGCGTCAGACAGAGGTGGCAGGGACCTTAAGTCCCGGTTGGAGCCACCAACCGGGACTAAGGTAGACTTTTACTCCCGGTTGGTGGCTCCAACCGGGAGTAAAGGTCCCTGTCACCTCTGTCTGGCGCAGTAGCCGTTAGGCAGGGACCTTTAGTCCCGGTTGGATCCACCAACCGGGACTAAAGGTCCTCCCTTTATATCCCGTCCATCTCCTTCTTCCTCCCCGAGCCTGAGCTCAGCACATTTTGAAGCTCACTGCACTAGTGTTCTTGCTTCCTCCCTCCATTGTTCCTCCATCCATTCTTTGATTCCTCCATTGATTCTTCAGTTGTAAAGGTTACCAATTTCATACTCTCATTTTTCACCATTGTCTTATCTCATTTTGTTCACTATATATATATGGTTCTTTATTGTGGTTTTTTTCATTTGTAAGCAATTTGAGCTCAAAATCACTTCAAGCTTGCATATTTACATGAATGAATGTTAAAGTAGCTAGTTGAACTTGCGGACCGTGTTCATCTCGGCGAGCATGTTCTCTGCCGAGCGGCAACGGACGTCAAGGAGGAGCTTCGATTCTACGAGGGAGAGCGGCAACGGTCGTGGAAGACCGTGTTCCCTTCCTCGTAGAATCGGAGCTCTTCCGTGGCCAAGTACGGTGCCGTCCGGTGGAGAAATGCTTGCCAAGATGATCACGTAAGCAAGGTCAACTAGTACGGATGGTTATTTATTCACACGTCCCGATATCGTCGTAGTAGTCTGTCAATCACCGTACCCAAACGTAGTATATATATAAATATAAACGATAATCGATTGTTATGTGTGTACACTCCCATTCTTCTGTTAATTTGCGGAAATATCATGTGAATTACTTACCTGCCGCAGTAAAAGACGAGAACACAATGACCATGGCCACGACCATGAAAAATGTCAACGACACAACACTAGCAACTTTCTCGGCAAGCAGAGTAGTGTTAAACGCTCTGGAAACCTTTAAACTTCAAGCTTGCATATTTACATGAAGGAAGGTTAAAGTAGCTATTAAAAACTAGTATTCACCGTTCATTTGTAGCATGCATAGCACACTTCATTGTTTAGAGATATAGAGAATTTTAGAGTTTTTTTAATTTTATTTGTTTATAAAATGAGAAAAAATGAGTATATAGAGTAGATGGCAACTGCGTCCGGGTCCTCAGCCTCTCATGGGTTTCCAAAGCGACTTAGGCCGGGCCTCCCACTCATTGCATGCGACAAGTGTTGTGATGAGACGAAGATTGTGATAGAGTACCGAGTGAAGAAGGAGGGTCCCAACAAGGGTCGCATTTTC